GGGGGGTGTAGAGATATAAAAAAAAACGAATAACCCTAAATAACTCTTGGATTCAAGCCAAGAAGCAACAGCAAAAGGAACTGAAATGGAAATTTCTCTGGAAATCTCATTCACTCACTTCATATCTTCTTTGTTTTATTTAAAATCTACAAACTAAAATTCAAAACCATGGGACATCTTGCATATTACACAATATACAATATTACACAATATTTTACACAACTGTAGCCTGTGTAAAGAGATTTTACACAGAAGCATGCGAACACTGTAAGCATGCAACACTCCACATTCAAATATAAGAAAAAATTTAGATCATACCTTCAGGTGAAACTCTGGCAGAGAGGAGGAGGAGAGAGAGAGAGATAGAGAACACACGCTGACTGCAGAACAAGTGTGTGTCTGAAACTTCGCTGCACTGTGCAAGAGAGGCCCTTAAATAGCGCTCTGAGTGGGCTGGCTCTGTTTGACCCACGTAGTGACAGGCGCAATTCCACTGTCTTTGTATATGAATGAGGTTGTGTGTTTGCGCAAGCTTGACGCAAAACCAAGAGCAGAAGGGTATTCTCACAGGATACAGATTGTGACATTGTCACTCAAGGGGACCGGGGGATCTCCAGGGGTCAGACCATCCTAATTACAAATATGCACAAACCTCCACAACAACTGAGTTTCCTCCCCCTACCAATAAGGGTCCATCCCTTTTTGCCCATTAACCATAAGATGCACATTTTGATGTTATGGATGCCGATGTCTTTAATGTGCATTGCACTGTTTGACACTCTGTATCAGTGGTTCTAAATGTGTGTTTTTTTTTTCAGTACCCAGTTTTGCATAAGACACAATCGACGACCCACCACAGTACAAAAACCATGCAAAGTAAAAAAAAACAAACCTTGCAACTGAAAGTACGGTAATAACATTCATATAGATCAATAGATCTTAATGAATAAATCATTTGATATAATTTTGATATATAGTTTAATATATTAAGTTGTATTTTTATTAAATCACAAAGGATTTTATATAATCATCCCTTTTCCTTTTCTTCCACTACTTCTTCTTCCCCAAAATTATGTATTTTAAAGGAACACTGCACTATTTTTGAAAATAGGCTAATTTTTCAACTCCCCTAGAGTTAAACAGTTGAGTTTTACCGTTTTTGAATCCATTCAACCGATCTCTGGGTCTGGCGGTAGCAGTTTTAGCTGTAGCTTAGCATAGATCATTGAATCTGATTAATAATAATAATAATACATTTTATTTAAGGCGCCTTTCAAATCACTCAAGGTCACCGTACATCATGAACAATAAATAAAACAGCAATAAATAACAATAAACAGCCATATCAATGAACCATAAAAAGAAAAGGAGCAGTTAAAAAAAGATTTGAGTGTAGCCAGTAATCATCTAGGATAAGCTATTCTGAATAAGTGAGTTTTGAGTTTAGCTTTGAATTGGGATAATGAATCTAAGTTGCGGATGTTAGCTGGGAGAGAATTCCAAAGTGAGGAGCAGCACGGCTAAAGGCTCTATGACCCATGGTGGTTAAAAGAGCCGTGGGTGTTTGGAGAAGACCCAGTGAGGAAGAACGAAGGGTTCGAGAAGGGTTGTAGGGCTGAATAAGATCTGAGAGGTAAGTTGGAGCGAGGTTATGGAGAGCTTTATACGTGAGAAGAAGAATTTTAAATTCAATGCGAAATTTGATGGGAAGCCAATGAAGCTGTTTAAGAGATGGAGTAATGTGTTGTATAGATGGAGTCCGGGTTATGATACGAGCAGCTGAATTCTAAATCAACTGGAGTTTATGGAGAAGCTTGTGTGATAAACCAAATAAAAGAGAATTACAGTAGTCGATGCGAGAGGATTAGACCGTTAGCATCTCGCTCAAAAATGACTAAAGCGTTTCTAAATTTTTCCTATTTAAAACTCGACTCTTCTGTAGTAACACTGTGTACTAAGACCGACGGAAAATGAAAAGTTGTGATTTTCTACACTCTTAAAAATAAAGGTGCTTCAAAGGGTTCTTCAAGCGATGCCATAGAAGAACCATTTTTGGTTCCACAAAGAACCATTCAGTCAAAGGTTCTTTAAAGAACCACCTCTTGCTTATCTTTTTGTAATATGAAGAACCTTCTTTCACCACAAAGAACCATTTGTGAAACAGAAATGTTCTTCAGATGTTAAAAGTTCTTTATATAACCATTTAGACAAAAAGGTTCTTCTATGGCATCGAGAAGCACCTTTATTTTTAAGAGTGTAGGCCGATATGGCTAGGAACTATACTCTCATTCCGGTGTAATAATCAAGGAACTTTGGTGCAGAAGGCGCATTACGCAGCGCCTAGTCCCCAGCACGCTCCCTGTGCAAGCAGGTGGTCACGTTGGTTATGTTGACGGAAGTTAGCCTATTTTCAGGCGCTGCGTAATATTATTGAGCCTGCTGCACCCATGGTACGGCAGCAAAAGTTCCTTGATTATTACGCCGGAATGAGAGTATAGCTCCTAGCCATATCGGACAAGAAAATCGCAACTTTTAATTTTCCGTCGGTCTTAGTACACTATGTTACTACAGAAGAGTCAAGTTTCAAACAGGAAAAATATAGAAACTCTTTGGTCATTTTTGAGCGAGATGCTAACGGTCTAATCAGATTCAATGATCTATGCTAAGCTACAGCTAAACGTGCTACCGCCAGACCCGGAGATCGGCTGAATGGATTCGAAAACGGTAAAACTCAACTGTTTAACTCTAGGGGAGTTGGAAAAGGAGCCTATTTTCAAAAATAGTGGAGTGTTCCTTTAAGAGAACCATACATTTTTTTCTACTATAGTAGTGTATTACTTTACTTATGCAAAGAATAAGCCCTTTTTAAACCAACTTATTGGTATGAACATAATGATATACTACAATAACTACAGTATCTCTCTCTAAAACATTTCAAAGGTTGTACCAGTGCCTAAAAGGTTTGAAAGACTAAAAAGGAGAAAGTCTATAATGCATGTGCAAAGATGCAGATGCACAAATATGCACACATGTGTTTATTGTGTATATATCCCTATTGCCCTGTTTCTTCAAAATATAAGAGTTTTGAAGGGTTTAAAGAGTTGAGAGTTTTAGTCTTCTAATTATGCATAATAATGTTTCATTGAAATATCCTTGAAGAAATTGCATCATTTTATTTGAATAGCCTGCTTCTCACAGCAGGACAGAATGGAAAGACAAATATCGTAATAATGAAAGAAAATAATAGAAGGATTCTTTAAATGCTGTTCTTTTGAGATTTTTTATTTGATGGTGTGTGTGTGTGGGTCTGTCATAATTACACGGTGCTTATTTATCTCCTTTCATTGCATGGAAGATAAAGATATCCTCAGACATTCTGCTGAACCTCACTTTTTGTGTTTGATGAGAATGAATGTTGTAAGAGTTTGTAACTAAATTTGAAAAATTTGCCATAGTTTTCATTTTTTTAGTGAAATTAAACAACCCTTTACATAACATTGCAAAGAGGTTTCAAGAGTGTATGAGTAAAAAAAAAAAGTCAGATACTTGCAACTGATGCAAATGCCTTCTTGTTGCTATACTACATCTGCAGCATATGTAAGATCCTAACAGAACAGAAAGTGAACATAAGAATAAAGAAACTAAAGAAAAAAAAGAGAACGAGAAAGCACTCAGCTGGGACCAAGATGGATAAATTTGCCCGACCCTGCCGATCCGTTGCTCATTGAATTCTGAACACCCACTAAACACCCTTCTATGAGAAAATTACTCACAATTCTCTATAAGGCTTCAGGCAACCACCCAGTCTGTCTTGTAAATGCAGTACCTATAGCCCGGCTCACACGGTCGGCCTCAAGCGTATGTCTCCTTTAAGCTTAGGATTTACCTTTGCCTGACAAATGTTTCACAGCACTTTCAACTGGCTGAGCAATAAAAAAGAAGAAACTGACTTGGCTATTACAGTCCAGATACAAGGTAAACACATATTTTTAAAAGTTCTAAATAAAACAACAATTACTGGAGCACATTTTATGAGAAAATACTATTTAAGTCTTTCTACTTCAATATTTCATGTTTAAATTCAATTCGTTACTTGCTGTTTCTTTGTAATTATTTATGAAATTTACTATCAAAGTGAAAACTTTTTAAAATCCTGTACTTTTTTTTTATACTTATATATTAATTTATTTGTAGTTACTATCATCGATTCATTGCTGAGTTCATCATCACAGGTGTGTGAACATTCTGCTGTAATAAAAAATCAAGCAAACTCTCAATCCCCATAATAATTTGAACACTACTATAGCATATGCTATCCCAAATATGTGACCCTGGACCACAAAACCAGTCATAAGGGTCAATTTTTCGAAATTGAGATTTATACGTCATCTGAAAGCTGAATGAATAAGCTTTCCATTGATGTATGGTTTGTTAGGATATATAGGAGATACAACTATTTGAATATTTGGAATCTGAGGGTGCAAAAAAAAAATCTAAATACTGAGAAAATCGCCTTTAAAGTTGTCCAAATGAAGTTCTTAGCAATGCATATTACTAATCAAAAATTAAGTTTTGATATATTTATGGTAGGAAATTTACCAAATATCTTCATGGAACATGATCTTTACTTAATATCCTAATGATTTTTGGCATGAAAGAAAAATTGATAATTTTGACCCATACAATGTTTTTTTGGCTATTGCTAAAAATATACCCAAGCGACTTAAGACTGGTTTTGTAGTCCAGGGTCACATATATTTATGCACAATTAAAATGGGTTTAGATTAGGCACCAATTCTCACTATTAACTAGTTACTAAATTAGCGTGCATATTAGCTGTTTATTAATACAACTAACCTTACTAACTATTAATAAGCATTAAATTAAGAGTTTATTGAGGGAAAACCCATAGTTAATAGTAAGAGTTGGTCCCCAAACCTAAGAGTGACCATAAATGGTCAGAGTGAATCGTGATTAATTGAAATTGTGTTTACATTGCAAGTGTGAGCTTTGTTTTGAGTATTTAAATATATTAGCTTTTAGTTTTCTTGGAAATAAAGACCATGTCTCTATAATAGCTTAAATAAAACATTATATCATCAAGAAACTATTGTCACTGAATGATGCATGTAATTGTGAGTCATAAATGGAAAGGATGATACATTTCAAGTCTCAATGAGGCTTCGTGTCTCATTTTAAAGTGCAGTTCTGTCTGTTTTCAATGTAGGTTTGTCTTTTTCTGCAATTTCGCACACTTGGCCACCTACTCCTCAAAATGATGTGTGTATAAACATCCACTTGTGTTTGAGAGTCTAGACTCAACAATGCAAATGAACATTTATTCATAATAAACAGTTATAATGGTTTTCTATTGAGGGATTATTAGAACAGT